TTATATTGAAGCTTTCAGCAAGTGACAACGGTCACAGGAGGGATAAAGTTTGTTCCGGCTTTTTATGGGAATGACCGAGGATACTGAAGAAGATGCGATCAAGTCGCTGATTGACAAAAGAAAACGCTGATGTATCGGTGTCGTTCTGAAGGAACGCAAGAAGAATAAGTGAAACTTCTTGCCTCTTGGCGACCATGGCCTACATAGGTTTTACTTATAGGTAAATACCTAGGGTAAATACTTGCAGCTCGAACTATAGCTCGAGCTGCAGCCTGCAAGTATTTACCCTAGACAGTATATCGCATTTCATCGTTAGGCTATGTTTTTTTTCAATGATAGAAACATAAAAATTGTTTTTAGCCTATGTGTTAGTCACAGAATCTCACGAGTTCATCGAATTTCAAACAACAGCATTGTTTTCCATTTCAAAACATTGAAAATCTAGTTTAAGCCCCAGTACTTCTATCTTTGTAAATATTATAGGCACCTGCACTGTCAAATCTATTTGCTCTCAAGAGACGTGATAAAAATGGAAACAATCCTCTAAAAATGTTCATTCATCCGGTCATGTATGTATGTACATGCTCACACTAACACATTGCGGACATAATACCAAGAAACCGACGTCAGTCGTCAAAATGGAACTGTAGGACCCCACAGCACCGACGAGTCTCGTCTTTACAGCCACCACGTCGGCCTTTTGCGTCTTATCCAAATGAGCTATCGAAACCTGTCATGTCAATGCCCGCGCGGAAGCCCCACAGTCCGCCGGACACGGTGGCATGCAAGAACTCGTCAAATCAGGCCCCGAGGTTCGGGCGAACGAGTGCCCCGGCCAAATTGGAGCTACAGAGATAGTGCAGCGCTATGGGTGGCCGAACAAGATATTTACGTAATAAACGAGAGCAGATGTTGATGCAGCTGGTTCGCCGAACCGCAATGACGCTCGATAAACGTGAAAAGTCGTGAAAGAGATGAAAGAGGGACCGGGAAAAACGGATAGGCCAACTTTGGTAGCTTCTGCTGAGATAACTAGGATACTGAGAGGCTAATTTTGCATTTACCCTGGGTAGCTATTTTTGAAAATCAGGCAAAACTTTTGTTTACCGTGCATGTGATAGTTAAAATAAAACTATTATAGCCTGAATATATAATATATTTTCATTTCAGACTTACGATCCATGTACTTAAATACCAATACGTTCAACACTTCACTCCGCTGAATGATAAAATAGTCATTGTAGGCGCTGCTCGTACGTCTGCTCGACTCAGCTGCTCGGTGCGCGGTTAGGTCGACAGTAGCGCCCCCCGTGGCCCTCCTGCTTGCGTAGCTCGGCAATAGATGGCACCGCCGGCTAGTGTCAGTACATGTGTATGTGTGTCAGTACTAGCGCAGTATAGTGATGGCAGTATTGAACTTTCGGTTGGCGTTTGTTTTTTGATTGTCGTCATTGGCTTAAGATATCTCGGCATATTATGTGTCGTGACCCTCATTTATTATATGTGGCGATTTGGTATACCTGTCTTTCGGTTTCTATTGGCATTTTTATTCATTGGCGATTAGAGGTGATGTAGTCGTGGTACGCTTAGTGATGTTCATTTCGGTTTCTGCGTTGAGTTGGACGTGTGGCGCGGCGTGCCCTGTAAGTGAAATGGTTTGTATGGATAAAATTGTATGCCATGATTGTAATGTTTCGCATAATTTCCATTAATTACCGTTTTGCTGGTTTTTACGTGGTCAGCTCTGTTACAGTTTGGCTCTTACCTGTACCATTTAGACGGATTTGTTTCGTTTCTTTGTCACTGTTACGCCACATTTGTAAATGGGGTGTCGCATGCAGGTTGCGCCCGGTTTTTGGTGCGAATCATCCGTGGCGCCTGCTTCTGTTGGTGGCGCCTGCTTCTGTTGGTGGCGCCGGTTGGTGCGGCGCTCGACGTACTGGTGGCGCCGTTGGTGAGGCGTTCGGCGCGCTGGTTGCGCCTGTCTGGTGTGGCGCCCGACGCCTCGACAGCGCCCGTTTGGTGTGGCGCGCCCGGCCACCTACTTTGGCGCCTGGTTTTGGTGGCGCTTGAGCACTGTGCTCACTTTGGCTGCCGTCTACATCCTGCCGAGAGTCACTCCGATGGTGAGGATATGATTATTGTTTTGGCGTAAGTGTGTCGGCATAAGTACGAGATTTGACTTAAGTGTAATAATGTGAGATAGCACCTCATATAGCTATGTTTCTGTCCCTCACGCCTATGTTCAACTGTGGTATGTGTTATATTTGTTTGTGTGTCTTTGGCAGAAACCGTGCTCATGCACATGCGCTGTTACAATACAGCGTGGTAATCATCTGGCCTTTTTGGCGGAGCGGAGCAGACGGCGGCTACAGTTTCATCGGATTCTTCTCTCCCTGCACTCCTGCTTGACGAGGAGCTGCTGCGGAGTTCGTCAGACTGACTCGTCCAGTGAGGTTTCATCTGGCGTCTGCATACATGAGGTACTGGGGCCCACATTCGGTCAGGGAGATTGGAGGTGTCATCACCTGGTGCCTTGTGATGCCTTCTAGTTTGATGGTCCTAGCAGTGTTTGCTGGGCAGTAAGAATCGCAGTGACATCTGGTGCCAGTAGCTACAGTTTGGTGTGATGCAGACAGCTTGGGTATGGGGATTGGGAGGTGTGACACATGGCTGGCTATGGTGGAAGCTGAGGTTCATTGTGTGTGCTGCTAAGTGTGAGATTGTTGATATTTTGGGTTCGGATGTATCCTGCTTTGGTTGGTTGTTATTGTTATGTATGTCAGGCATCTGTATAGCTTAAGTCTTGCAGAGAGTTATTGGTGGTGACATAGGCTATCATCCGCAGTTAGGTAGGTCTTGGTATTATCTGATATGGCTTCTCGAGACGATATAAGTAATTATAGGGCCTCTGAGCTGCAGCGCTTGCTAGAAGAGCGTGGACTAGATACATCGGGCAAGAAAGTAGAGTTAGTTGATAGGTTGTGGGCGGCAAAGGGAGGAGGAGCGGGAGAGCAGTAAGGTAGCAGTAAGTGAGGGAGTTAGTGCTCCAGAGGAGCGTGCTGTGCTGCAGGGTCAATTGAGATTTTTGAAAGAGAGAAGTATGCTAGATGAGGAGGAGGCCCGTATAGAACAGATGCAAAGAAAGATAAAGGCTAGGCGAGAGCAGTTAGTTCTAGAACAGAAACTTGCTGCCATGGGACATGATGTCACTGAGGATGTTAGGATTCGAACAGGGCATAGTGACATCTCTACTGCGCTGACAGAGCAGGTGCAGCGGTCGCTGCTGCCTCCTGCAGCTTTGACTCCCTTCCGTGGTGAGATCTCAGAATATCGACTTTTCATTCAGGCCTTTGAGTCCCGTGTAGCGGCCAGGACCGGGGATCAATCAGAGTTATTATATTATCTCGAGCAATATACCCAAGGGAAGCCCAGGGAGATCGTGCGCAGCTGCCTTTATCTCGGCGACCAGGGCTATGCTGAGGCCCGGCGTTTGCTGGAGGTGCGGTACGGTAATCGGCATCTGCTCATAGAGACCTTCTCGGATAAGCTCAGAGACTGGCCCAAGGTAGCTGAAGGGGATGTTGAAGGGCTGGACAGGCTGGTGCTGTTACTGACAGAGATCCAGCATGCCATGGCTGGCCTCCCAAAGGGGGAGCTGGACCACCCGCGAACCCTGAGGGATGTTGTACGAAAGTTGCCTGGGTACTTGCAGGATCGGTGGCTCAGGGAGGTCGACAGGGTGATGGAGGGACCAGAGGGCCGGATGGTAGAACTTAAGGACCTGGTGGATTTTCTGGCAGCTGAGGTCAGGGTAAAGAGTAATGCGGTCTTCGGATCGCTGCGGTCTGGACCGCGGGCGTCTGGCGGCGTGAGTCGCGTCGATCCTCATCGCGCGCGCGTGAGTGCTGTTAGCGCTCGTCCGCTGCCGTCGTCGGCGGGCCGGCGCTGCGAGTTCTGTGATGGCAATCACTTCATTGGGGACTGTGATCAGCTGATGTGGCAGACCTGGGACCGTAGAAAGGGGGTTGTGTCTGATCACAGGCTCTGCTTTGGGTGCCTGAGAAAGGGACACGTGGCGAGGTTTTGTCGCTCGCGGCTGAAGTGTAGCGTCTGTGGTGCACGGCACCCTACTGTGCTGCACAGGACGTTCTCATCGGCGCCACCTGGTGCGGGTTCTTCCCCAGGATCTCGTGCTGTTCAGGTTCCGTCTGGTGGGAGCCATGTGCCGCCTGGCAGCGCTCAGGTGCCCGGCCGGGTGAATCAGTCACCTACCGAGGCGATCCGTGCAGTACCGGGGGGAGGTCGCACATCTGTTCGTGGTGTGCCGGGCCCGAGTCCGCCGGTGCAGGATGGTGCTGGTGCCGGTGGGGGTCCTGTGGGTACCCGTACGGTTCAATCGCTCGGTGGGGGTGGAGCATCCATGGTCAGTGCACGCGTGGATGTCACTGATGATGTACGTACTTACATGCCGATAGTCCCGGTTCGGCTAAGGTCGAGCACGGGCAAGGAGATTGTAACGAATGCCTTCCTGGACCAAGGCAGTTCTACCTCCTTCATTACTGATCAAACCATAACTCGATTGGGGGTAGAGAAACGGCCGACGACGATTCGCATAGATACGGTGACTGATTCAAGGCAGGAGTTGAACTCCGGCCTCGTTGAAGGCGTAGAGGTCGCGCCTCTCGTTGGCGATCAGTACCGTTGTCTACCGCCCTTATTCTCACTGGCCAACATACCAGTCACGTCCAGTGACAGGTGCAGTGTAGAACAGGCGACGAGATGGGAGCATCTGAATGGTGTAGAAATTCTGGATTTGAACGTGCCTGTCGGGCTGCTGATTGGTGGAAATGTTGCTGACCTTCTGATGGTGAGAGAGGTTGTGTCTCCGTCAGCAGGACAGGAAGGACCACATGGTGTCAGAGTTGATTTGGGTTGGTACGTAGTGGGACTCTCCTGTCACGGTCTAGACGGCAGACCGCATCTGGTTAACTTTCTGCGAAAAAATGATTGCAGAGATGACGAGGAGGACATCCGTTTGATGTTTGAGAAACTTTACTCTGAGGAGTTCCGTGATGTATCTGACAATCGTGAAGGCATGTCTGTCGAGGACAAGGAGTGGTTGGAAAGGGTGAAAGGTACCGTCCGCAAGGACGAGGACGGTCACTTCGAAATCGCTCTTCCAAGGTCAGACCTGGGTAGCATTCCTGACAGCTTCCCAGTTGCCGAGAAGCGACTCGGTTCGCTCAGAAGGAAGTTTAAACGGGACCCGAGCATGTTTCAGTCGTACGCGTCTGTGATCAACTCGCTGAGAGATGACGGCTATGCAGAGAAGGTTCCGTCCAGCGAGCTTGCCCCAAGGTCACGTGACGTTTGGTACCTTCCGCACCATTCGGTAGAAAGCCCAGCGAAACTCAGGGTGGTGTTCGATTGCGCTGCTCGGTCAGCAGGGGTTTGTCTAAACGACATTCTCCAAGGCGGTCCCCACCTGGGTCAGCCGCTGACAGCGGTTGTTTCTCGCTTTCGTGAAGGTGGTGTGGCTTTCGCTTGCGACATACAGGCGATGTATCACAGGGTACATGTCCCTGCCAGGGATTCAGACTTACTTCGGTTCTTGTGGTTCAAGAACGATGACATTGATGCAGGCGAGATTGAAGTGTGGAGAATGCGTTCACACGTATTCGGTGCGGTCTCTAGCAGCAGCGTTGCATCCTTGGCTGTGCAACTGTGCGCCGAGGGGGGAAAGCAGCAGTTTCCCGAGGCCGCTGATGTGCTGCTGCGAAACATGTACGTTGATGACGCGCTTGTGGCAGTCGACTCTGTTGAGAAAGCGGTCAGTCTCGCAGATGATCTGAAACGGCTGTGCCAAACTGGCGCGTTCAGCATGAGGAAGTTTGTATCTAACAGTGCAGATTTCCTAAGGAGCATTCCCGAAGGAGAGAGAGGAAAGGGCGTCAGAGATTTGAATCTGGACAGAGACGAACTTGGCTGTAATCGTGCGTTGGGCGTGGAATGGTGCATGGAGGATGACACTTTCCGTTTTTGCTTTCAAGACAGGAAGAGCCCCGTGACGAGACGCGGGATCCTGTCCACCGTCAGCAGTGTTTTCGATCCCATTGGATTCTGGGCTCCCATTTCCCTGTCAGCGAAGCTGATTCTGCAGAAACTTTGTGCTGCATCCTGTGGCTGGGATGAGGCAATTCCACCCGCTTTGGTTGATGAGTGGCAAGCATGGCTTCGCCGAGCTGAGGAGCTGAGCGGTGCGTGCTTGGCTCGTGACATATCTGGTCCATCGGGAAGTGTGCGCTCCACGGAGCTGCACGTGTTCGTCGACGCCAGCGAATCGGCCTATTCTGCGGTGGCGTATATTCGAAAGGAAGTCGTGACCGAGAGTGATGGAGACAGTGTGTTCATGGAATTCCTGATGGGAAAGTCCCGAGTGGCCCCGCTTCGCTCTGTATCCGTCCCAAAGCTCGAGCTGGCTGGGGCCGTGCTGGGTTCTTTGATCCGGCAGTTTCTCGTCAGGGAGCTTGACACGAGGTTCGACAGAGTACATATGTGGACGGATAGTATGGTGGTGTTGATGATGATCAGGAACAGGACGACCCGGTTCAAAACCTACGTTGCGAACCGACTGGCCCTGATTCATGACGTGACAGAGGTGTCTGAATGGGGTTATGTACCCTCGGGAGATAACCCTGCCGACGTGGGCTCACGTGGTGCAGACGGGACCAACTTGGGAATGTGGCTAAGGGGTCCGGGCTTCTTGATGAAGGACCAGTCAATGTGGCCTGTGGAGCCGACTGAGCGTACCCCTCTCCCAGCGTCTGAGGTAAAGAAGTCTAGTCCTGTAGCCACAGCGTTGGTCGGGCGTCAGACTGATCCATTCGGTGGGCTAGTTCGTTACTTTTCGTCTTTCTATCGGCTGAAGGTGGCAGTAGCCTGGTACAAAAGATTCATGACTGTCATCAAAAATGGTGATTTCCGCAGGTACGTTTTGGCGAAGAGGAAAGGACTCAGGCCAAGACGTGGTGGAGGCGCGCGGGCTCTCCTGACGCAGTCGGACTTGAGCGATGCTGAGTCCGACATTCTCCGCTACGCTCAGTCCGGCATGGCTGATCTTCCTCGTGATCTGTCCACGGACGGTCCGGTGAGGGTGGCGAAGACCAGCCCCTTGGCCGCTCTCAGACCGCATATTCGTGATGGTCTCCTGGTGGTGGGAGGTCGGCTGGATGCGGCAGAAGGAATCTCGATGCGAGCTCGCCATCCGGTGATACTCCCACGGGAGCATCACGTTTCAAAATTGGTGATCCGTGAGGCACACAGAGCTGTGGGACACGAAGGGAGAGATCATACGCTGTGGCGTGTGAGGGATAAGTACTGGGTCATTGGCGCGGGGCGAGAGATCAGGAAGATGCTGCGTGGGTGCACGGTATGTAGGAAGGTGAATGGCCGGCCGCTCGGGCAGCTGATGGCGGACCTGCCAGACGAACGCGTCGTTCCGGGCGTTGGGGCGTTCGAGAAGATCTCGTGTGACGTTTTCGGTCCTATCCCTGTGAAGAGTGGCCGGACAGAGCGTAAGTGTTGGGCGCTGTTGAGTACCTGCATGACGACTCGAGGGGTGCATATAGAGCTGCTGGAGTCGCTCAGCACTGATGCGTTGGTCAATGCTATACGCCGTGTAGCAGCTCGCCGCGGAGAAATCCGCCAGGTGAGATCTGATAATGGGACCAACATGTGCGGAGCGGACAGGGAGCTTCGCGAGGCCCTGTTAGAGCTTGATCCCGAGGAGTTGCAACGGGCAGCCCGACCGCACGGAATTGACTGGGTGTTCAATCCGCCTCACGGTTCTCACTTTTCTGGGTCCGTAGAGCGTCAGATTAGGAGTGTCCGAAAAATTTGGAGGTCTATGCCTGTCACTCGTCTGTTGGATCGTGAAGCGCTGTACACACTGCTCTGTGAAATAGAATCAATCCTGAACAGCAGGCCGCTCACGTTTGTTACCACCAGTGACAGTAACGTTGAGCCAATTACCCCGAATCACTTGCTTCTCTTGCGTGCGTCTGTTCATCCTGTTCCTGGGGTGTTCGGTGAGTCCGAGTCGTTCTCGAGGCGCCGCTGGAGGTACGTGCAGTACTTGGCTGATCAGTTTTGGGTGAGATGGAAGAGAGAATATTTGCCTGCGCTCCAGGCTAGGCAAAGATGGAGACATGGTGCGAGAAATCTCCAGGTAGGAGATATTGTACTGCTTGTCGAGTCAGGTGCTCCCCGAGGTACTTGGCCACTTGCCAGGGTAGTTGAGACGAGACCCAGTCGGGACGGCCGTGTTCGAAAGGCCTTAGTTAAGACCAGTGTATCGACTTACCTCCGACCTATCCATAAGATGGTTTTAGTTCTTGCTGAGGCCGATTTGGAGTGGTGAGTGTTTCGCGGCCGCCAAGGTGTGAGCTCTGATTGTGTTCCTGTTTATATGTGCTAGCTTGTAAGGCTGCTACAGGCGGCGTCGAGACGTTGCGAGCGTACCTTAGTGTTGCGTATCGATGTATTCTGTCATGTGTTGTTGTTCCCATGTAGTTATCGTGGCAGCGCTCAAGTTTTCAGCCGTATGCTGAAGGGGGGAGTGTAGGCGCTGCTCGTACGTCTGCTCGACTCAGCTGCTCGGTGCGCGGTTAGGTCGACAGTAGCGCCCCCCGTGGCCCTCCTGCTTGCGTAGCTCGGCAATAGATGGCACCGCCGGCTAGTGTCAGTACATGTGTATGTGTGTCAGTACTAGCGCAGTATAGTGATGGCAGTATTGAACTTTCGGTTGGCGTTTGTTTTTTGATTGTCGTCATTGGCTTAAGATATCTCGGCATATTATGTGTCGTGACCCTCATTTATTATATGTGGCGATTTGGTATACCTGTCTTTCGGTTTCTATTGGCATTTTTATTCATTGGCGATTAGAGGTGATGTAGTCGTGGTACGCTTAGTGATGTTCATTTCGGTTTCTGCGTTGAGTTGGACGTGTGGCGCGGCGTGCCCTGTAAGTGAAATGGTTTGTATGGATAAAATTGTATGCCATGATTGTAATGTTTCGCATAATTTCCATTAATTACCGTTTTGCTGGTTTTTACGTGGTCAGCTCTGTTACAGTTTGGCTCTTACCTGTACCATTTAGACGGATTTGTTTCGTTTCTTTGTCACTGTTACGCCACATTTGTAAATGGGGTGTCGCATGCAGGTTGCGCCCGGTTTTTGGTGCGAATCATCCGTGGCGCCTGCTTCTGTTGGTGGCGCCTGCTTCTGTTGGTGGCGCCGGTTGGTGCGGCGCTCGACGTACTGGTGGCGCCGTTGGTGAGGCGTTCGGCGCGCTGGTTGCGCCTGTCTGGTGTGGCGCCCGACGCCTCGACAGCGCCCGTTTGGTGTGGCGCGCCCGGCCACCTACTTTGGCGCCTGGTTTTGGTGGCGCTTGAGCACTGTGCTCACTTTGGCTGCCGTCTACATCCTGCCGAGAGTCACTCCGATGGTGAGGATATGATTATTGTTTTGGCGTAAGTGTGTCGGCATAAGTACGAGATTTGACTTAAGTGTAATAATGTGAGATAGCACCTCATATAGCTATGTTTCTGTCCCTCACGCCTATGTTCAACTGTGGTATGTGTTATATTTGTTTGTGTGTCTTTGGCAGAAACCGTGCTCATGCACATGCGCTGTTACAATACAGCGTGGTAATCATCTGGCCTTTTTGGCGGAGCGGAGCAGACGGCGGCTACAGTCATGCAAAGCTACAATACGCCGCATGCTGTCAGCCAGACAGTGTAGAAACCAGTACACCAACACACATCTGCCTTCCCTCGCCCACCATGCGTCAGTCTCTACCTGTGACGTCTAGTTGCGCTCACTCGTCTGTACCTCAGCGCTTAGGTCACTGCCACCGAAAATCTCCACCGCACGTGAGCGTCTCCATCGTAGCCACCTCTCGAAGGCGGTGGCGGCGGCCGACGGTACCTCACCAGGGTCGTCAGGGGCTCCGGCAGCGGCTGCCGTGGAGGTCAGATGTGTGGGCAGGAGAGGAGCAGCGGCGGAGGAGCCGGTGACGCCCACAGATGGGCGGTTTACAACGGCCCGCGCGTGGACAGCCCTGGTGACGAGGTCGGCGAAGGCGCCCGGTCGGACGCGCGGTCTGGAGCTGACGGAGGGAGAGAGGAGGGACGGACGGGTTGAGGAGGTGGCAGAGGCGGCGACAGAGGAGGGAAACAGTGTGGTGGATGTGAGGGCCACGGACACAGCTGGGGCGGCCGGGGAGGCGGCCGGGGAGGTGGCGGCGGGCCGGCCCCGGGCTCCCCCGGTCGGCGGCCGCGCCAGTCCGTGTCAAATGTCCTTCTCGGCCAGCGGCGGGCCCTCGGCCGCCGCTGCCTGGCTGCTCTGCAGAGACTGCTTCCCTGACATCACCTCCTCTGCGTCTGTTAGCTGCGGTTCGCTGCCCGACAGAGCTGCCGACGGCTGACCCGGCGCCGGCGGGGCCGCTGCTGGGGTCGAGAGCAGCGCCTGAATGGTCGGGCAGGGCAGCCGCAGCACGGCCGATTCGCTCTGCGTCCGCCGGCCGAGCAGCATGAACGGGTTGAAGACCATGCCGGTGGGCTCCGGAGCCCGGACGGGGCCGGGGAACGGTCCGGCGCCCGATCTCGGCAGGCTGGCGAGAGCAGACGAGCCACGGATGGGTCAGGACAGACGAGACACAACAGAGCCGAGCTGGGCGGCAGGCGGCGCCAGACAAAGACCAAGGCACGGAGCAGTGCAGTTCACAATTAAACAGATAAAAATACCACCACAAGTCAAAAATTATTCGTGCATATTTAGCATGCCTCAATCAAATGCGTCCAAGCTGTTATCTTAAAATGCAGCTGCTATAAAATGGAGTGAATATTGCATTGCAAGTCAAATAATATGTTTAAGCAAGCATCTGTAAAGATCAACATTTTAATGTCGTGCATCAGCAAAACGTTATTTCCAAAACTACTCTCAATCTCATAACCTAAGCTAATGCCCTGCATTCGAAAAACTCATTCCAATCAACACAGACGAAACATATCAACACCACAACGATCAAACAGACTCCCACTTGACTCTAAGTGACTCTCAACGACTCACATGCTGGGGCTGCGCAGAGACGCAGCCGCCTCGGACTCGGAGTCCGTTCCGTTTGTGTCCGTTCGCGGCAGAGTCTTGACGATCTTGGGGTTGTAGAGTTTCGGGTCGGAGACCATGCGCACGAAGAAAGAGCGCTTGTGCCGCAGGGCCTCGCGGTTCTTCTTGGCCAGCTCGCTTTCGGCACCGTTCACCTTGACCTCCTTCAGGGCCTGCAACGTCAGCAACGGCAGCGTCAGAGTGAGGGAGGGCCGTGCCGGCAGACCCACGTCAAGTTTTCGTCATAAGGATAGTGACTAGTATAAGCTCATGAGCAGTTTGGGTGATTGATCTTCGAGCTAATATGCTGGTCGTATCTTACACACAAAATCCTCTTTCGGAGGCACCACACCATCGACATAACAGAGCAGTACTTACCTCGATGGTCTTGTTCTCCAGAGGAAGTTTCTCCTCCGCCAGCAGGTCCTCTGCGAACTTGACGATCACTGTCCAGGCGTACACTGGAAGGCAAAGCGCAAATTAATCGACATTAGGGCCCCCTAATGAAGTTTAGTGGCTCGACGAGGCGCGAATTGAAGACTCCGCGAGCCGCCTGGTCCGAGGCAGGGTCGGGAGAACACTCTGTGGGGAGGGGGCGAGGACGGGGAGGGAGGGGGAAACGGGACGGAGGGGACAGCCGTCAGTCTGCGGCAGAGGCCGGCGGGGAGCGGAGATGGACCGCGGACAGCGCGTCCCTGTGTGATAGAGCGTGTGCTTTACGTCCTGTGAGTCGGGCTCGTGAGTAGTGTGGGTACGGCGCCTAGTGAGCACCATCGAGGACGACTCAGTGGAGAAACGGGGCATGGACACCGCTTATCACTACGACCGCGACAGTCACGGCATGGCAGGTGGGTCCGGTACGCCGGCACCAGCGTCCTCCACATGGGTCATGTGTGATATGGCTGGCTGTGTTGACGAGTTACCGGGTACCGTTATGAGTCGTGTTGTGCGTGTGTTTGTTACACCGGCAGCGGAGGGTGCCGGGCCGTTCCAGGCTGACAACGTGGAGATTGGGCCGGTAAACGGCCGACGCCGGGCGAGGGGCGTGCAGGCCGACAGCGCCGACACAGGGCCAAGGCGGCCGACAGACCGGGTGCCGGGCCGTTTCAGGCCGACAGCGCCGACACAGGGCCATGGCGGCCGACAGACCGGGTGCCGGGCCGTTTCAGGCCGACAGCGCCGACACAGGGCCAAGGCGGCCGACAGACCGGGTGCCGGGCCGTTTCAGGCCGACAGCGCCGACACAGGGCCATGGCGGCCGACAGACCGGGTGCCGGGCCGTTTCAGGCCGACAGCGCCGACACAGGGCCATGGCGGCCGACAGACCGGGTGCCGGGCCGTTTCAGGCCGACAGCGCCGACACAGGGCCAAGGCGGCCGACAGACCGGGTGCCGGGCCGTTTCAGGCCGACAGCGCCGACACAGGGCCATGGCGGCCGACAGACCGGGTGCCGGGCCGTTTCAGGCCGACAGCGCCGACACTGGGCCACAGTGGCCGACAGACCGGGTGCCGGGCCGTTTCAGGCCGACAGCGCCGACACAGGGCCCATTGCGGCCGACCGACCGGGTGCCGGGCCGTTTCAGGCCGACAGCGCCGACACAGGGCCATGGCGGCCGACAGACCGGGTGCCGGGCCGTTTCAGGCCGACAGCGCCGACACTGGGCCACAGTGGCCGACAGACCGGGTGCCGGGCCTGTTTCAGGCCGACGACGTCGAGATTGGGCCGGTAACGGCCGACGCCGGGCGCCAGGCCGTGCAGGCCGACAGCGCCGACACAGGGCCATGGCGGCCGACAGACCGGGCGCCGGGCCGTGCAGGCCGACAGCGCCGACACAGGGCCACCGCGGCCGACAGACCAGGTGCCGGGCCGTTTCAGGCCGACAGCGCCGACACAGGGCCAAGGCGGCCGACAGACCGGGTGCCGGGCCGTTTCAGGCCGACAGCGCGGACACAGGGCCACAGCGGCCGACAGACCGGGTGCCGGGCCGTTTCAGGCCGACAGCGCCGACACAGGGCCACAGCGGCCGACAGACCGGGTGCCGGGCCGTTTCAGGCCGACAGCGCCGACACTGGGCCGGCTAGCGGCCAACAGCACGGGTGCAAGGCCGTCAGACTGTCAGCGCCGACACGGGTGGTGGTCGACGGGTGCCGGGCCGCCCGCGCGCAGCGGGGCTCGGTGGCGGCGGCGCGGCGGCGCCCGTGCCGGGCCGGCTGCGGTCGAACCGGAGGAGCCGGGATACAGATGGTTTACGACCCTGCGGTGGCCGAGGGTGCCGGGCCGCCCGCGCGGCGGGGCTCAGTGACGGCGACGCGGCGGCGTCCGTGCCGGGCCCGTGCGCGGCGGCGTCCGTGCCGGGCCGGCTGCGGTCGAACCGGCGGAGCCGGGCCACAGATGGTTTACGACCCTGGACCCCTCCCCCTCCCCTTTATGGCAGGCCCGCCCCAGACGGCGGGACACGAATCGAGTATCACTGGTCCGTTGGGAGTATCACGTGTCTGGGGGGGAGTATCACTCTTCTGTCTGGTGGGAGTATCACTAATCTCCTGGGAGCGTATCCTGTTCGGAAGGTGTCACATGGCTGTTGGACCATAGCCGGCGTCAGCTGAGAGGTCAGATGTCGGGTGGGGGGAGCGTCGGGCCGGCCGAGGCGGGCGGGACGGTCGAGGGGATGGCTGCATGGCGGCGTCCGGGGGGGGGGGGGGGCGAGGCGGGACCACCGGCCATTTGAGCAGTACGTGCACGGCCGTGATGGCGAGTGGGTGGCCAGGGTTTCCCAACGGCGGCGCGCATCCGTGCGACAGTGACGTTCCATTAGTGACGGTGACGTACGAATTGCTACGAAACAGCCTGGCGCCGGGCTCCCGTCGAGCCTATGAGCCGGGCCAACGCCGGTACATTGAGTTCTGCAGGCGGTACGGGCTGACAAGCGTTCCGGCGTCGGATGACACACTCACATATTTTGTGGGTCACCTGAAACGGGCGGGACTAGCCGTCGCTAGCGTGAGGCAGTATTTGGCAGCAGTGAGACACCTTCATCTTCAGTGGGGTCGGCCGCTGCCAATGGGCATGCCCCCCTACACTGCGGCCGCGCTTCGTGGCTACGAGCCTCGGGGCGGCGGTACGGAGCCCCGCCGGCAGGCGATCGACATATCGGTTCTTCGCCGCCTGAAAACCCGTTTGGCATCATTATTGCCATCGGCTTGGGACCAGCGGTGCGTCTGGGCTGCATGCACACTGGCGTTCTACGGCGGCCTGCGGAGCAGCGAATTCCTCGTCACCGGCCACGGACGGGGAATACGGCATGGTGATGTGTCTTTCACATCGGTCGGCCTTCGGGTACTGGTGGGAATTCAAAAAAAACCGACAGCATGGACCGCCAACGGCCGTCGAGCTCCCAGTAACAGGCACGTCCACTTGTCCTGTGAAAGCTATGTACCTGTACCGACAGGCAGGGCGCGCGGCGGATGGAGCGCCGCTCTTTGTACTGGACTCGGGAGCAGTGCTCACGCGACGACGGCTGAATGATCTTCTCCGTCGCGCGCTTGGGCCCGGATTCTCTTCTCACTCCCTGCGGATTGGTCTGGCCACGGCTGCGGCGGCGGCGGGTGTGGCCGACCCTGTACTGCGCCGCTTGGGACGGTGGCGGAGTGCAGCGTGCGACGGATACGTCCGGGGACACAGGAGGGCAGTAATCGAGGCCTTGGTCGCAGTGGCGGGGTCGGGCCATTAGCGCTCAGTCTGGTACTATCGGTATCTTTTTTGTCGTGCGTGTTTGTCCACATGTATACTAGTCGAGATTATGACCGTGTGTACCGTCTGTCAGGATTGCGGCCGCTCAGCGCTGCCAGCGGCGAACAAGATAGGATCGACGCCCAACTGCGAGCGGAGTTAGACTGTGCACTCGCGATGGGCCGCCAGGATGGCACCATGCATCCGGGGTCCGGCGACGAACGCGGCGGCGGTCACGAAGGTGTGCGATCGCATGCAGCAATCCACCATCAGAGCCAACAGCGCGATCACCTGCCCCCGGCCGCCGCTACGGTGACGGCGGCCGGCGCGGCGACGGCGACGGGCCCGGCTTTCCGCAGTGGGCCCCCGGCAGTGGGGGCGGGGCCGTGTGGGCCGGGTACAGGGCCGGCGGCTGGCGGCCGTGACCGAGAGCCGGTGGCACGACCCCGGCGGCCCGGCTGTTATAGTGCGGAGGACTCGTACATACGGGGACGATGGGCCGGGACCGATGACGTTCTGGGGTATGATGACGATCGCGAACGGGCTGGTTCGGCGGCGCCGGCGACACGTTTCGGCGACCTTCGACGGCACGGCGGCGGCCCTGAGCCCCGGAACGCGGACCCGGAGCAGCGCGGCCGCACCGGGCGGCGGCGGCGCCGCCGACACAGCAGCGATGGAGGACCGGTGCGCCGCCGACACAGCAGCGGTGGGGGACCGGCGCGCCGCCGACGGCGGGACGACCTGTCGTCCTCATCAGAGTCGGAGTCTGACGAAGAGGACGGCATCGACCGGAGGGTGGAGTATCGGGCCGCCCCGACGCGGTCACGGACGGGGGCGGCGCCGACGGCTCTGCGGCTGCCTGCGATCCAAGTCAGAGCCGAGCGGCGGCTACGAAACAGGCGCCTGTATGTGTCAGTGGAGGAGGCTTACGATGCCGCAGAGGGCCGGCCGAACACGGCCATGGAGTATGTCGACCGTGTGGCCGGCTTGCTCACACACACAGTGTTTCACTTCCCTGAGTGCGGGTTGCAGGTGGTCGGGTACCTGAGTTGGCTTGTCGGGCTGTGTGCGCGGCGCTCGCTCCGCGACGTACAGGTGGCCGATAGCCGGGCGCGTCAGGCCATGGCCATGCGGCCGAGAGATTTCATGATGCATGATGATCTGGACCGGTTCGCGGCGCCCGCGGCCCCAGTGCGGAATGGTGGGAACCCAGGCCCCGGGGGAGGGTTTCGTAATGGCCGAGTGACATGTATGCGTCATGTTCAACGGAACGTGTGCCGTTTCCCGTGCCCCGAGAACAGGTATCACCCGCCGTGTACCGAGTGTGGTTCTCAGGTCCACCCTACAGGTTACCACGGAGCACCAATCGGCGGTGGCGGTTTTGGCCCGGCATTGGGCCGAGGCCGGGGACCGGTGAGCCGCGGCGGTGTTTTTCCCTAGTGCCCAGGTGAGTGCAACACCTGCCGCGGCGCGAGACGCGTGCCCGCCTACACCGGTATTACCTATTATTATAGTCATTTTTATTGCGTACTTGAAGTGGGAAATATGAGCAGAGGCTTTGAATAAATGCAACGTAATATTAATGGCAATAAGGATAAAGATTGACGGCTGTTTTTTTCTACGATATCGCTCTCGGGTATGACCTCTGTAGAAATGAAACATCGGTCGAAGTGTGCATCTGGTCAATGGGCCGCCCGCCACTCACGGATGTCCTTCTCTGTGGCGTTTTGGGCGCAGACGCAGAAGCGGATGACGAACACGTCGTTCATGGAGGCCGGCACCATGTGCAGCTTGCCCGAGGCGTTGATGTTGGTCAGCAGCTTCTGGTTCAGCGCGTCGGTGCCTCGCAGACGGAAACAGACGAGACCCAGCTGAAAAGGGAGTGGGGAGTGGTGACTTGAGGTCAATGTGTTTTGGTCGTGTGTAGAATAGCGGCATGATACAGTTGATTCGTTTAGTTTGCTCAACATGGTTACTCCCATAGAAAAATAAACATGTTTTGATAGTTTATTGACGCCGAGGAGAATAATTGAGGTTTAGACAAGACGAAAGCGTCTCTTCCATGTGGAAGAGTGAGCCAACGTTCTGTCGAAACGATCGCGATAATTAAGCCTGGATTGTTCCTGACAAGATTGAAAAAGTGATGTGCCAACTTCGAATATTGTTGTCATAAGCAAGCATATGATTACAAAGATCATGCGCTAAATGACACGGAAGTGGAGCCATAAAATTCAGTGTGGGGAAAATGCTGCCCCGTTCTCCTTCCCACACACACAAAGCCTCATCGAACGCTTTTCGGCTACCAGCATGGAATTACAGCACATCATCACGCCGATTCCATTGGTCCAGATATTCACCCATTGTATACCCTCCACATTAATGCATAGTTTCCCATTCAGTGAGACCAGTCTGTTACTCCAACCGGTAAAACTCCACCGCCATTGTATGGCCGGCGAGGTGTCGGCATTCGACGTCATCGCATTTACCTTGACCTCGTTCATCAGCTCGAACTTGTGGTTGGCCTCGACGAACGTGGAGAATCGCTTCGCCAGTCTGACGTGCTCCCGGATGTATCGGCGAAGGCCCTCGACGCCGTAACTTCGGATCACGAACCACAGCTTCAGAGAGCGGAAACGGCGGCTGAGCGGTATCCCCCAGTGCTGCGGCCGGAGCGCGAGGTCAGAGGTCGGGTCAGGGGTCAGAGCGTAGGAAGCAGAGGCTGGAGGCAGGTCAGATGAAAGGGGTATGGGCTAAAGAACAGAATGCATAGGTTACAGCAGACCATGATTCGTAGGTTTGTAGACAAATTTCTCAAAGGAGACAAGACATGTACTGGGCAAGACTCGGTTCTCAAAAGAACAACTTTGAAGTCATGATGACTTCCGAGCAGCGATGAAGCATCACTGGTCACACTTAACACAACAAATGGTGCAAGTCACGGGGCATGTGCGGAATAAGTCGATAAACGAACCGATGGAAACAAATGTCACACATAATCTTGTAATTTAGAGAAAGAAAAGAATGGCCGGGTAGAATATTTCACTTATGTGGATCAGTTATTACATGAGTGAACCACTCCTCGGCACATTTTTTTTTTTCGTTGACAACCAGTGCAGTGTTGCATTCGATTTTCACATACACACGGTTGTGAGTGTGTCAGATCAGTGACAGAGCTCATACCCGATAGTCGATGGACTTGTCCGAGTAGTTGTGCTGCAGGTAGAGCGGATCCACCACCAGGGCCTGGGTCAGCTTGAACCGGTCCCTCACCCTGAAACGCAGCCGCCGCAGTGGAAGCAACAGTGATTGTGGCGAATTACTTTAATTGTTTGAAATAATGATAATAAAAGATAATAATGGCATAGTTTGCGGTTAACGTATAATGATATCAGCAATCAGTCCGTCCACTCACACAATACCGTCTTCATTCAGCGTATACTATTGGGCTAACGGTACCACTACGACGGTGTTTATTGCCAATGAAATGTATCATGTCACAAAAACACGCGTTGAGCCGCAGAAGCCGTGATTGATAAGACTGAAAATCACTGTGAAATATGTCACTCCAGTGGATACACAAGATAAGCTTGTATAACATATCGCACCTTCACCAAAAGGCGTCGGTAAAATCCCATTGTTACGCTCACACTGAAGCACCTATGCAGTGAAACATTGAATCAGATAACGAGCAGTCGACTCGTTTACCTATGCAGCTCACGTAACGGGGCCAGGTGAATCTGTCGAGGTCAGGTCGTACAATGGTCGTCTGGGAATGGCCGGGTCGCACCGCACTTCATGTAACAGGAGAGTCATCACCACTCAGCAGTTTAGGTGGGCGACGGGTGAGATATATGAACCAGTGAGGGGGATCTGAAAGTCGGCGTTCTACTCACCACATAGTGGAGCAGTCGAAGTTGACCAGCATCCACTTGTTGGGGTTCATGTTGAAGGACATGGCGTACTGCAAATAAGGACATGACCATCATTGGTTTGTCGTGTGACGTGACAATTTTTACGATAAAATGCAAACCATAACTTATGTAGATTGCTATCGAACTTAGGGGACCATGAGTCGCATTTTAGCCCTTCGTTTTCCTCTCACATGGCTAGGTACTACTTCTCATCACGAAAGAGCACAATCTCTGCTTCCCTTCCTCCCTCTCCCTCTCCCTCTCCCTCTCCCTCTCCCTCTCCCTCTCCCTCTCCCTCTCCCTCTCCCTCTCCCTCTCCCTCTCCCTCTCCCTCTCCCTCTCCCTCTCCCTATCCCTCTCCCTCCCCTCCCCCTCTCTCCTCCCTCTTTCCCTCCCCTCCCCCTCTCCCCTTCATCCACCTCAATGCCCTTCATCAGCGGTTTGAACTCGGGGCAGATGAAGGCGTTTCCCGCGTAGGCCGAGTCCACGTGCAGCCACACATCGGCGGCCCGGCAGACGGGGCCGACCTCGTCCAGACGGTCGAACGAGCAGCAGGACGTGGTTCCCAGGGTGGTGGACACGAAAAAGGGCACCAGGCCCAGCGCGCGGTCCTCGTCCATCGCCTGCAGAGGGGGCAGGTCAGGTCAGGTCAGGTCAGGTCAGGTCAGGTCAGGTCAGCTAAGGCTTGGTAAGGAAAGAGTTGGGTCAAGTCTGGTGAGTTGAAATCAGTTAATGGAGGGTCTGGTCAGTGGTCACCTCGGGTCCAAGCATGTCTATATTTTATAAAGACATTTCAGGTTGAATAAAAGTAAAAGCAGGCTATGTTTCGTCGGGCAGGGTTAGGGTGGGTAACGGTAGTTTTGTGCCAGGTAACTTCAACCCACGTAAGGTCACGATTTGTGTAGTATGACAATGTTTAGGTCAGGTTTGGTGAGACTTGGTGAAAAATCGTCTCGCAATCATTTTTTCTTCCGGGCTCGACTTTTTCTGGGAAAAAAAAAATCATTAAATGAGTCGACCCGTGTCGGAATAAATGTTTGATAACATTGGAAATGACCCTTTAAATCACATTTGTGACAGCTTTTTGCACAACTAGAACGTAGTACTGTTTCACTAAGAGCTCCTAACTAATCGAGCACCGTCGCCGACTTACAATGGCAGTTATGGGACAGGTCATTCCTCAGACCACCAGCCCCAAAGTAGATCGTTTATCAGGACTTCATTAATCGACTTGAACCTGAGCAGGGTCGCATGCTCGCAATGACGCCCACATCCGAAAGGAACCGAAGATAGTGGGGTTTCTACTAGCTTCTTTCGAAAATTAATTTGGATTGCAGTATGCTAGCATATAATTAACCACATTCGGTTATTCTTCTTCCAATCATGGCATTGGTCGATGGAAAAAATGTGTTTCCGTAGCAAACTTTCATATTATGCGCTGTTCTGAAGCCTGTGAGATAGAATTGGTCAAGAAATGAGGCATCGTATTTCCTCATACCCGAAAACATGCAGTCCTCACCTCTTTCAGGGTTGCACCGCGCAGACTGAATCGTTCGTCCGGCTCCAGAATACGCAGCTTGACAAAGCTGATCATGGCTGCCTTTTCGACGCAGCTGTGGGCCTCCTTGGAGCAGTAGGCCATCAGTTTGGAGAGCAGGACACCCTCCTCTACGGTCGGATGCTGCTGCTTCAGTTTCCTGATGGCCTGCGCCCGCGCCGCCAGCAGTGAGACCAGAACGCACTCGCTGGCAGATGTCTGGGAGAACGAGAGAAGAAAATGAGCGATTAGGTGATCTATGCATGTTGGCAGACAAAAAAAAAATAAACGTTTTCTGTCCCGAAGTCTGTCTCGACTGTCTCAAAGACATCAGATAACGGCTTGCGTAACTAGTCGTGGGCTACGCTAGGACTCCCATCAGGAGTAGTACCGAAATACCCAAGTGGTGACATCAGGACGGTGCCAGCACAGTGAGCGCCAGCCGTCCATCGTCAGTGACTTTGTCGGTCGCCTCGGCCGTAATTTTCCGACCGGTCAGTGAGTGGAGCTCTTTTAGCACGGCCGGTGGGAAGCTCGCACCTGAATGACGCCGCCGCCGACACTGTTCTCGGTGAAGGAGAGGAACTGGTCGGGCAGGCCGATCATTTTGCCGAGCCAGTCCAGAACGATGGTCTCCAGCTCGGTGCAGGCCGGACTGGCCGCCTGAAAATAGACGCAGACATTAAATTACGACTAAACACTGGATGTAGATTATAGATTTGTCCAGCCGCCAGTGAATCATACTTGTGTAAAAACCTATCGGAGCTGGAGAGTGGTCGTCGAGTGACACTTCTTTTCAGCAAATTTAATGCCATAATCGATATACAGCGGAACAGTGAACTCAATGGCACAATCATAATATTCTCGCCATGCTAGTTCAATAACAACCATCTCTGGGAAGAAAGGATTTGGTGACCGTGATGGCTGAATTATGAAATCCGATGTAATCCAGCTGATTGAGAGTTATATCCTAGACGTGGTAAGTGAGGTCGTATGGATCGTTTGGTGCTTGACGGTTATTCGTTCTATGCTCTATGGTGGGACAACGTAGGCCATTTGCATTTGACCGTGTATCAAACGGTCTTCTTTCGTTCCAACAATTACACTTTGAACGCATACCGCGCACACTCACCCAGGAGAAGCCGACGCACAGTCCGGACAGCATGTCGGCCAGTATGGAGGGGTACGAGTTTCCGGCCGGGAAGTAGGCGTGGAACTGCGGGTGCTGCCAGTGAACCATCTGTGAGAAACAGACACACATGCATGTAGAGGTAGGGGGTGCGGGCGCACTGTGTCCTGCGCTGACATTTCATACCAATGAGAGTGATTGGAAGCCTGCAATCAAAATATGTTCGAGATGAGACTAGGCTTTGACGTGGTAAATGCAGTTGAGAATGTTATTAATTTTGGCGTTAATAGATCAAAATGAAGAGGGCATCGGCACCTTGTTCAAACAAATATTTTAGGGTGAAATAGCAATTATTTGTTGAATCATAGATAACATGATAACATGAATGGTTGAACATATTAATATAGAAGCATTATTTTGTGTCAACTGACCCCAGGCATGATTTTCTTCTCGAGATCCTTCATGATACCTTCCCAGGTATCACTGTCTTCGGGCGGATCATAAGGTATCAGATCGCGCAGGTATCCTATGGCAGAGAACAAAAAGTGAGCGTGAGTTTTCGTCTGTTGTGCATTATTGAGCCATGCAGGCCAAGAAAATATATCTTACTCATATTGAAATCATCCCAGATAAACTAAAGTTCATGAAGTTGGCTGATGCTTGCTACTTAGCCGCAAAAAACAATCACATGACAAGCATTAATAGCGGTGTCTTCTTTTCATTGAATGGCTTCCGAGCTAAGAAATATTTGTCTAATGATAACGTAACGAAGTGTCGCTGAACCATGCACACATGATCGTCATTGAAGCCGCAGACAGTCGCTGACTAGCCCACCTGGCTCGATGTCCGGCGTGACCCTCCGGAGGTGCAGGCTCTCCATGTAGTCGGCGATGTAGTCCACCATCTGGCGACCCCGCTGCCGAAACTCGGCGTGGTCCATGGTGGAACTGGAGATACCTGGCGAAGGGACAGAGCTCAGGATAAAGCACATGTTAGATAGTCGGTTAGAAAGGATAATTTACCGAAAAAGGATGCATTCAGTTCGCAAAATCATCTGAGAATGTTTCAGTAAGTATATTTCAGTCGCACCCTGTGAATGCATTGTCATATGTATGTATATCTATCGTATATTTTTATGTCTGTTTTATATCATTCGAGCCCCAGATTGTATTAGCAATGCATTCCTTTTGAACAACAATACGACCCACTACATGTATGCCCTGCATCTTCATTTAGCTGTGTGGGTGTGGCACTGAGCATCATCGCCCAATAATGACCCCATCTCCATATACGCCGCATCCGGCGCGTCCTAAACTGGGCCACCCAGCCTCCCACCAACCCGGTCACTCGGTAATTACTGCGCTCGTGATCTACCCAAAGGCATTCCGAGCACGTGATCCGCAGTACCCGGACCCCTCCCCGTGGGTCCCTCCGCAGCCCGCCCGGGAGACAATGGGCTCCGCGGCGCCGCCCTGGCCAGCCCCGTAAACAGGCGACCACCCGCCCCGCCCAGGGAGCTCCGTCATACCGAGCAGGTTTGCTTTTCCCATTGAGATGGGTTATTGAATTCGTGCTGGCACGCGCCGGCTTTGTGGGGCGCGTGGCTGGGTCGCTAATGGGGGCGCGGGCACTGGGTAGGTGGGGAGGGGCTGGATCTCTTGGGGAGAACCGCCGGCTCGCGGGAAAATAGAGCGTGGTGTCATCGCTGCCGCGGAGGAGGGTATCTGGCAATGACGGCCCACCACTCAGTCGCGTCACCTCGGCGCCTACGGAACCGTTCGGAAAGAGCACCACTTGTCGCAATGGAAGCTGTCAGACAACAACGGCAAGTGGTCGGGCAATAACGTGGCCTCTTTGTGGTTCGACAGAAGACTGCGCGTACTTCATGACTCCATTACTGGCCTCTCTGAGGAGGTGCCCGCTCGCCCTGGTGGACCTCGGCCATCGGTCATGATGTTATCACATTGTGAAATTCACAGTTGATTCGGACCGAAATATTTCGACGGTTTATCTTTAACGAATTGCACTATCATGAAAAGTATACTGGTCGAAAGCTGCGTACTTTATTTCCATACGCCGTGATTTAGTTTTTGGAAGCATTACGACAAAGGCTGTCCGATCGAGGCACATCGATGCAAAGGATGTGTGCTAACACACGCCTTCTTCCTCGCCTTCTGTGCCTTGCTACGGAAAGCGGCAAGTTTGTGCTGTAAAGGTGGTCGAAGTAATGAAGCTCCGTCGCTATATTTTTTCCTGTCAAAGATCAGGTCATCGGAGACCATGAAAGATTTAAGTATCCAGAGTTCCAGATCCACATCGAAGAAATAAAACATTTGTTTTGAATGCAACGACTGTGTGCATACTCGTAACTTTAAACTTTCATGTCAATCGTTGACCTCTGAGGTCAGGTCAAGGGTTTCAAAGAAAGAATTCTTATTTTGGTAACACAAAGGTCACTAAAAAATTGCCGTAGGCTTTGCTAGGCGTTTATCGTTCTCTCTGCGTCGATTGATTTGCGTTTTTTTTTTTGTGGGGAAAGGGGAAGCAGACATGTGCATGGTTCCGAGTGATGGATCTACGATCTCAGTGGATCTCGAAACAAACTACCGTTTAGGATCTATAATCCTACCGGATCCGGCGTGAAAAAATGTATCATGGATCTACGATCTCATAGGTTCTGACGATAGACCAACAACATGGATCTATGATCTGAGTGGACCCCACCATGCACAACATTTGAAACCAGGTTTTCAAGTCTTTCTATATAGATAAGTGCTATAAGGTTATGGATTATGTTGTGCAATCACATAAAAGCACTAAAACAGAACGTTTGTGCGCTGCATCAAGTGAAATTTTGGGATTTATGTGCTGACAAAAAATAAATGAGGATCTATGATTTCATTGGATCTCAAGCAAAAAATTAGACTGGGATCCATGATCCCTACGGATCTCTCGATAATTAAAAGGCTTGGATTTATGATCCGTAGTGAAAATAATGAACGAATTTTCAATACCTGCCTGAAATTGAAATTTGAATTGAAATTGGAATTGAATTACGCACCTTGCCTTGAATGTAACAAGCAAAAAATGGCATGGTTAAAGTTCCGGATTACGTAAAAGCCATATTTTTCACTGGCCTTCAAACGCCGACTGCGTTAGTCGCTGCTTAGCAGAGAAACAAGGCTAAACCGGGCTAGAAGGTAAGCGTTACGCTGAAAAGGGCTCGATTCTCACTAAGCACATCAGATAATGCATCTCTAAAAGCACAAGGTCAGCAGGCATTTTCAGAAATCAGGTATGTACATTTAAAACATTTCTTTTAACTTTTAACACGCACAGTGGAAGGAAGAGGGGGGGGGGCGAATTTCGTCCACCCCTCATGTTTTCTCAAGTATCTCACGCCATAATTATTCTGTTAGCGTCAGATTTGCAATATCTGCAATATCTGCAATATCTGCCTGAAATTGAATTGCACATCCTACCTTGAATGTAACAAGCAAATTGGTCTACAACTTTGCTCGTTGAAGGGGCGTAAAGTAAAAAAAAAATCCCGACTGAGTGGCGGCGCGACGGCCGGCGCCGGCCGGTTCTCGCTGCCGGCGCAGGACGGTTCCGTCTTTGCATTGCGCTGCTTACCGCTGCTACCGTTCAAATTCGCGTTCGCGTTCAGATTCGCGTCAAAATTTATGTGGAGACTTAGACAAGTACTCTTAACTTATGGTGATCTTATGGTGAAAGAAGACGAAAATCAGCCGGTAACATTTTGAGTGACGAGTGTGTAAACACAACATTGTGTCTGACACGCTTCCCAGGTCGGCTGTTCCCCGCCTCAACCGATATACATCTTACTCTAAGCAGAGTTCTAATTGCCATTAGGTATTATGGCTGGATTAACTAGATATTCTCAATTTATACTAAAAAAAATGTATGTGCTGTCGTATAGAAAAAGACCTAAGAATATCGGCCAGTGACTTTTTGAGGTATTCGCATGTAAACACAAAATAGACCATCATCTGGCAAAGTTGACCCCGTTTGACCTGATTTGACCTTGCAGATATTGACCCAGCGCCATAAAATTTACAAATGATATTTGCAGGTCCCTAACGCCCTCGCCCACCCTCTGAATTTCGACCTTTTGGCTTTCATAGGAGCTGAGATCTTGCGGGGGGGCCACATTTGCCCCTCCCCTTCCATTGGGCGTAGTTCTCGGAACCCCTCCACTGCGCGTGTTAAAGAGTGGGTAAATGCCACAATAAATGCCACCCAGTGGGTGGCATTTATTGGGGGGGGGGGTGAAAAATTATTTTGGATTTATTGAGGGGACATCCCCGCATTCCATTCCACTTGTCATTAACACAACATGTGTAAACTAATTTGGGAAATATTTGAAATGTTACAGGTCGGTCAATGAGGTCGAACTTTCATTTTTCTTCGTAAATGTAAATTTCCCTAATTGAACCCGAGCTATTCAGCCATTTACGCCCCGCTGGGGAGGGGCAGATCCTGCCCCCTCCCTCCAGTCTAACTTCCGAACCGATGGTCGTAGAAAGACGGACAAGCGGCAACCGAAATCTCTCAACAATACGAATCTTTGTGTTAAAATATTTTTGCCTTATTAGGTCAGAGGTCAGGTCAAGGCCAGGTCAACGGTTCAAAATGAAAGTTTCTACGCTATCGCCTTTGGAGCGCAGCTGTCGAAGAATAGACTGAGATTGATTATCCATAATATGTAACGGTGTCAAAAACGTACTGAAAATTGGGTTTGAAAAATATATATTTGTAAACTTTTGACAATAATGCTAATCGCTTGGTTATTTTTGAAGATAATGGGCTAAAACTTGTTAGAATATTTCATCAGTGTGTGCTCTATCACATTTATTCCGTTTTTTTTGCGAAAATAGAAAACTTTTGAAAAAAAAATCATTTTTGTAATTGTAAAAGCATATTTTTTTAATTTTAAAAAATTTCGAAAATTCGAGATGGCAGTTTGATAGCTACGTGTATTTGTAGTCGACTGATGCAAAGAAATTGGAATTAGCTTAAAAACTAAGCTCTTGAGAGCGTTTACCGTAATTCAATATTTTGCATTAAAATTGGCCGACATGACGTCACTCTGACGTCATTTTCGGCCAAACTATGGTAGCTAGAAAGTTGAAGTTTTAACACGAGGTGTCAAATTGATGCCGCTGAGGGTACCGCAAGTTTCGTGTTGATCCGTGAAATGGTTTAGAAAGATATTGCCGAAAAACGGTAGGGGAGGGGGCTCTGTAGAGCCCTTTCTCCCCCCCCCCCCAGTCATGCGCGGATTAATGACGTGTTTTTACTCTCTTAAACTGAGTTGTCCTTAAGGTGGAATTCAAAAAGACCGATTTCTTTCATTATTTTCACTACATGTAAATTGACGGTTTTGCAAAGGCTTCAGAACGTAATGGGAGGTAGCCGGTAGGGGGCTCCAACAGTCTAACACCTGTTGTGTTGGACACCGAAACAATATGGGCCTTGTCTAATTAGCGATCAAACTATGCGACGTATGTTTCTACTCTAAATTGTCTCATTTTACCAAGGCCATTTTGCACAAACGACTGCTAAATTCGTCCCAATAACGTGGGCAGCACCACCGTCACTCTCCATCATCCGCTCACCTGATTAGGCGGTGTAGCAGACCCCGCTCCTCCCGGCACCTCCTCGGGCGGTGCAGTGAACTCCGCTCCGTACAGCCGCCTCGCCCTCAGCTGCAGAGGTGTCGGCGCTCCGCAGTGCCCGCAGCAGGTGCCACTGGTGACTGGAGCCGCTGCCGACCCTCGGCCGTCTCCCTCCGTCCCAGAGCGCCAAGGTCCCAGTCTGACCCGACACCCCCCCCCCCCGACCCGAACCCCCTGCGCAGCTCGGTGGTCCTTGCGCAAGGGGGCGGCGCTGGCCGGCTGGGCCGCCCAGGTCACGATGTGTATCGGGTAGGGTCTCACGATACTTCTGTCGTCTCACCCCACGCGACTGTTGTGGGATCACGATTTTTTAATTGAATTTGTTTAGTGAGCTGTGAAGGCTGTTGGTGGCTCACAGTCGTGTGGTTTTAGGTAGCTAGTTTGAGTGGATAGACACGTTTTCATATTGTTGTAAGTGGTACCTAACCGATGTTTCAAGGAAAGTCGCTATTATCGTCTATTACACACATTAACTTGCGGTCGAGCGAAGGTCGAACTAACTACCTGAAGAGAGCTAATAATCCAGCGAAGTTTAGTGTCCATATTCGCCATTTACATTTTACATAGAGACTAGATAGAGACTACGTTTTGACACGTCTTGATCTATTATGCGCGCAGCTCAGTACATTTAACTTTTTTCCAAGACCTCTAGCAATTTACCTACTGACAATTCCCGAATCCCAATTGATATGAGATGTAGGTATGTGTAACATGTAGGTACATTTATTTGGACCTCATTCATCATTGATCATTTTGTTTTCGTTTGTCACCAGACGTGATTTCAGCGATGGCTCAATTGGCGTGGCCGTCTTGCTCGGCGTCATAGCCTAGCAACACGAACTATCTGAACTTGGCGCGCCTGCAAGTAGATGGCGCTCCAAACGTTCCTGAATTGGTATACTGTTCCGCAATGCATCCTTGTCAGGCGGTACAGCATCAAGCCGAAAGCGCTCGCCGGTCGGCGCAGCCACTCGATAGCCAGCAGTTGGGCCGCCCAGTACCAACATTGTTTTGTCATTACCATGTTTCTGGATAGCGTATCCCCTGGAGCCTCTCGTCCCACTTCACTTCTCGACTCTCATCCTGCGTTCTTAAGGGCTATATCGTCGCCAGCTCATGGGAAGAAGCGTGCGTTGGGATAGCTGGCTTCGGCTTGTCTCACGAAAGATGACCAGCGATGACGTGTAAAGCGGTGTAGTTATCCATTTATATCTCATAACGTGCAATAATAACTTTCCAAACCGAAGAGGCCCAAAGTAACCATCGTACCTAACTAACAAAAAAGCTTCACGATAGTGAGACGATGACACATGCTTCCAGTGTATGAAGAGCTCCCGATAAAAACAGCTGTGCGAACTCATCACTAGACCCATCTCTCCTAATAAATCCCACGTCCCGAATTCGCTCCCAATTTTCCCACGTTTGGGACTTCCGGATCCCACCCCCGTTATGTAGTCACCTCGTCATGAATCCAGCTATCCCCATCGGCGGGTATTGGGAAACCGATACCATCCGTGACTCTCCTTTGTGCTGCGTCACCGCCTCACTCAGGGTCAGCCCAGGGCGGCCAGGGTCACGCGGGGCAGACCTCGCCACTCCTCCCGTGTCCGCCCCGCTCGGTCGGAGGTGGAGGGCGGACGAACCTCTGACCCCATTACTCGTTCCACCAGAGTAGCCGGTCGGTAGCTGACGAGGCGGCTTTGAGGGCCGTGACATTTCCAGCTTCGGTAGCCGTGTGTGGGGTCAGTGGAGGTGATTTTGTTGGTAAGTGGCTCGAATCAGTAATGGATCAAGAGCGAACATTGTGAAAACGCGTTAAAATAAACACGGACCACGGTCTTCCCGAAGGCGATGAAATCGCATTGATCCACCAGACAACATTGCAAATTGAATGACTCTGATGACGTACTACTGCAACTCAAGCTCCATGCAACCACTTTCATCGGGCTAAAATGGCACCAGGGCTTTTTTCATTTATTTCGCAAAGTAATCAGCGGTGTATACCCTGAATAAATAGTAAACGTACGAAACCACGGTATATAAATCACCAAAACAACAGAAAATTAAAAGCTCCAGCCGGGCTAAGCAAACATTTGCCTGGGGCGATTTTCGCATCACCCGCTACAGAAAAAAAAATTGAAAGGTGTTGCTTCGAAGAATCATGTAATCATTTTCTGAGGCGAAAGCGAAAAAACGGAATCTCGATAACAATGGTCTGACTTCACTCAGCACACGGAATGCATCCATCGAACATCGAAGCGGCAGTACAATCATTCAATAATTCAGCTTGTTGCAAAAATCATCGACGCCATCTCTGACTAATGACGTATCATGCCCGGCGATCGAGATATGAACGGTGACATTCGTCATTTTCCAGTGTATCGTCGAATATCATTTGTGCTGTATCGTCTGCATTGCATCGGACCCAAAACGGCTACAAAGAAAGGTTGTAAGCCTGAGACTAACAAATGACAACGGAAATACACCAAAAGCCTTATGATTACATCAATATACGAAAAATGCCTTTGACAAGTGTGATGTGCAGTTGACTAACACCCCTCTCATGCAAGAGATCACAGGGCCTTTCCGTTCAGCATCTTCAGGCCGGGAAACCTCTCTTTCAGCTGCTCCTCATAGCCCGGTACTTCACACACCGGGTTACCCGTCACACTGAGCTCCTCTACACTGGGCCACGGCCCGTCCTCGCCGACGAGGTCACTGACCTCCCGCAGGTCATTGTCATCCAGCGCCAGTCGCCTGAGGCAGCACAATTCGCCGGGAGGTAGGCTGACCCGCCGTACACGGTTGGCCTTGGCAGTAACTCGCTCCGTCGCCACCAGGTGTCTCAGGTCGAGCGCGCGCAGCTGATTGTTGTCGGCGTCCAGCGTCGTCATGGCAACCATGTGGTTAGTGTGGTAGACGGCCGTCAGATGGCAGGAGGAGAGATCCAGCTCGGTGAGGCCCGATTCCCGGGCCGATTCGAGCTTTCGCTCGATGATGAAGCGGCTCCCTGGGAATTTAACACAACCGGTTATTGAAGCGTACTGATCTTATCTCCAACAGGCGATATTCGAACCTATGAAAAATGCAGGCACCGGATTTAACTATAATTAGTTTGCTTCCGAGACATAGGACTAACAAGATCAATCACACATGATCAACAAAAATCAAACCAGTCCAAAATGACATCCAAATGACAAAAAAATGACATCACCACAGCCACAACAATTAGTCCTGGATATGTCCAGTTACAACCATAGGAATCCCTCCCCACCCGCGCCCTGCGTCAGCCCCCGTCTACTGACTGAGGTCACGGTAGTAGCCTCGTCGCAGGCTGTCCAGCTTCATCAGTTCATTCACGGCCTCCAGAATTTTGTCGTGGTGCTGCCGCGGGTCCAGTGCCCACATCAGCACCACGCTGCTCAGCAGCACCCCTGCAGGCGGAGGCAGCACGCAGGAGCAGTTAACGGCCAGGTGGAAGACAGGTGTGTTAATAAAGGAATCAAATCGCCTAGATCGCGTTGGTAAATTATACGATGTTTTAAAACGATGAGTCAGCACGTTCATTGGTTTTATCTGGTCATTCCACACTCTGATTAGGAATACTCCTAGTCATTACTGTCTTAGTTTTGAAGCTGATAATCAGGGATGTAACCTTACAGTAGCATCACACAGACCAACGGTTCGCCAGTACTCCGTTCGGTTCTCACATTTGTTGTCGGGCTCCATTTCTCCCAGCTGCCAGATGTTGTCCAGCTCCTGGTTCAGCAGGCTGCCGGCGGCGGCGCTAGTGTCGCTGCCGAACGCGCCGCCAGAGGGCAGTGTCGGCGGTGGGCCGTCGCAGGCCAGCCGCTGCTCCGCGCCGCTCTCTGATGACGTCATCACCACGGCCGTGGGGGTCGAGCCGGCGGGAGCGGCGGCCACCTGGAAAGGGGAGGAGGGTGTGTGTGTGTGTGTAAAATTACAGTGTCACAGTGACTATGTTCACTGCTCGGTCGCTGCCGGGGTTCCTCGAACACGCCCACAGCGAGGGAGGGCATGAGAAGGGGTGCTCGCCAGTCGCCACTCTCACAGAGCCAATGTACAATGTGTGTGTGTGGGGGGGGGGGACGTGATCATGAAAACCAGTGTTCAGTGTGCCGCAATAGTAAGCAGTAGACTATAGACGCTCGTTTGAAAACCAGTGCAAAAAGATGTCTAACCGGTTAATGTATTTCACATTACCACATGGTACATTTCGATGACACACTAGACACTACCACTCATATGCCGTTAGTGCTTTGGTTTTGCACCAAATATTTCGCCCCATGGAACCTCGAAGTCGCTTGGGGCTAGCTTTCTCCCATTCTCGATGAGCTGGCCAAATACGCTGGATTTTGATGAAGAAGCTGGTGGAGCTACTTCTGCGTCTACGGCTGAGTCCGACTCTTCTACCGGGCCAGACGCGCGTCCTGCGACACACCCTACGTGATGGGGACCAGCTTCAGGAGGGGCTGTGGCGAGGATAGCGGCGGAGTTTCCCCGGATGATTGCTATCGAGACTCTTTGTAGAAGCCAGGACACTTCTCTGGGGTCCTTAGTCGCCGCAGAAATCCGACCGCCGATATCCCGGAGCAGCTTTGACCCTGCTTCTCCGACTACGCCGGTAGTCTCCACTGCTACTGGAGTGAAGATGTAGCGGTCTGCAAGACTGGCGTAGCGCATGCGCTTCAGGTTCTCGGCGGCGGCTGCAGCTGCGCCGGGATCCACTGCACACTTCACCACGTGTGACTCAGCAAACGTGTCAACGCACGTGGCGTCCCATGTGAGGCTTCGACCGGCACTGAAGGGGAACGTTGTCAGTCCGTCGGGGCGCCTTCCATCTCCTCTGTCTAGCCCCACAGGTTCTAAGACCGATGGTACGCCAGCGCTTGCCAGTGCTCGTTTAATGACGTCATTTAGGGCTGCGTGCCGTGGGAAGCGACCGGCGCTCTTCTTACATGATAGGCCGTGGTGTCCCAGCCTGTCCACAGGGCATCCACATAGCTTGCATTGGTGGGGCTCACAGATGGGCAGGCCTAGTCGGAGCGCTACCGCTATACGAATGGTCTCGTCATCAATGTACAGTCCCAGGCTGGGGATTGGAGGTGCTTGCAGCCAGGCTGCAGTATGCGGCATACAAGCAGCACCGAGACGAGCGCGATGTATCTGATTGGCTCCGGCGATCAGGCGGTTAGCGGTGACAGTTGACGCGATGTCGTCCCAGGTCTTTTGGAGGCTGGCCGCCGGGCGTTCTGGAACAGTCTCGATGCCAGTTGCAGCCATGAACTGCTCCGTGGCTGGTTGCAGTGCCGCTGGCTCAGGGCCCGTGAAGGTTGAAGGGCAGATAGATAACACCAGCGGTGCTGCTGCGGTGAGAGACGACAAGTAGCAGGGCAGAGCGAGAGCGTGCACGGAGCGCACGCCGAGCCCGCCATGCCTCTGGGGCAGTGTAGCCTGCTCCCAGGCCTCGTCTGTCAGTGCCACGTTACCAACTTCCTGGAGCGTGAGGCGAACTGTGCTGTCGATTCGGGATAGCTCTGCAGGCTCCCGATAGGCTGGCGATGAACGTAGGAGATATTGCACTCGCGGGGCAGCTACGTACTTCGATAAGAAGAACAGAGCTGTGTGCCGATCGAGGAGGCGGAGTCGACTGACTGCACAGCAGTTTGATAGTCGTGTAGGCTGATCTGACAGAGTCGCCAAGCCCAGCCTCGTGTAGCGGTGAGCCGAGCAGTGTGAGCTGTTCAGGAGGGGTGGTTTTGATGCCGGCGAGGACTGACGAGATGGTGCTGATGACGCTCTGGCCTTCGGCTGGAGTGCCACCGATGGTGGTTAGCTCGCACTTTGATTTGTTTAGTTCTAGGCCGAGCTTTGGAAGTTCGGTACATAGAGTTCTAAGGTCTTCCTCCACTGTTTCTACTGGTCCTGCAATTGTGGCATCATCCAAGTACCATAGGTTCAATGGAGACTTCAGGGATCGCGCGCAGCCATCCACCACCAGAGCGAAGAAGGCTGGACCCAGTGGATCACCCTGTTGGACTCCACAGCTGGACATGATGACGTGATCTCCGAAGTGGAGCGGCGATGGAGCGCTGTAGGCTTGATAGGCAAGCGGGTATACCTCTGGGCAACGAGTTCGTACCGCATTCAGCATCTGGTCTCTTCTGACCGTGTTGAAGGCATTGGATATGTCCACTTTGATAACCGCTGTCGGGACTGACACATCAGAAGTGAGCACGCAAAAATAGTTATTTATTTAACATGAAAGCAATTAAAGTTATGTACAAAGCTTTCAATATTTTTTTTTCAAGAAGTTAAGGTCTGAGAAAACTCCTTAGTTAATATTGATGGATTGTGGTTTGCCTCGTAAGCACGATGCCTTGTCGTCAGAAGGCATGACCTTTATCAAAGACCGCATCGATGTACCCGAAACCGCACAGTAGCAGCTTAAGTCATCCATGAAAATAGCTAGCGAGATTAGCTACAAACACATCCTTCTCCCTCCTTCACTCAGACGGCGCCTCTCTCTCTCTCTCTCTCTCCTCTCCTCTCTCCCTCTCTCTCCTCCTCCTCCTCTCCTCTCTCTCTCTCTCCCTCTCTCTCCTCTCTCTCTCTCTCTC